GTGCTTAACTCCGGTTTCTGTAGCATGAAGCGACTAGGAGTATTTCTACTCCCCCCTGGATGAGATTCCAGTCCATTGCAGGGTTACCCCAGCATTAAATTGCTGGTACCCATTTATACACCTGGGTGAAGGGAGGCACTGTGAGAGTGAAGTGTCTTGCTTAAGAACACAACACAATGTCCCGGCCGAGGCTCAAACCCGGACCACTCAATCCAGAGTCGAATGCACCAACCATGAGGCCACTGAAAAAAAACGATATCAGACAAGACAGAAAACATATCATGAAGTGACTTCAAAAAAAAAATTCTCACTCAACTACTTAATATTTTGTTACTGTTTAATGAAAAAAAACTCAGACAATTTGAAACAGAATTTGAACTGAATTCATATCAAAAAAAAACTATTTGATCATAAAAACTTTTTTTATTTCTAACCCACCTGAGTTGAGTAAGACTCTTTGCTCCCAAGTCCTGACAGCTGTGTTGAATTCAAAAAAAAAGGTATGGAGCAAATCTGTGAATAGATCCTTTGTCTGCTACAGAGCCAGACACTCCTTGAGCAACTTTCACCTTGTCACGCTCACTAAAAAAAAAAAACACATCAATATTAGATGATACTTAACAAGTATTGTTAATCTTTTCACAACTGGTATTCCTGAATTTTCTTATGGCTGTTGCATTAAATATGCACTAATGACCATCTAAGAGCATAGTTAACTGGATATCAGTAAAGATCATTGTACCTGTATTATGGCAAAATAGTAAATTACAAAAACTCCACAATTAAAAAAAACCAGAAAGAACACCACCAAGGGCCAATAATCTTCACAAATAATTTAAGATCTTAAAGAAATGCCGGGGAAAGTTTGAGTGCTTATTTTATGATATCTCTCTTATTATGGAAAAGACAACAACCTTGAACACTTAGACAGAAAAAAAACCACCAAAAAATTTCACTTTTTTTTTTCTTTTCTTTGCTATCCACATTTTAACGAGGTTTCACACTTTTGTCCTCTAATGCAATCTTTACTAATTTGCATCTTATAATGGCGACATGTTGCTGCTGAAATGTCACATTTCAATAGCATAGCTTTTTATCCTTAAAGGCCCATAATCATGTCAAAAAGGAATGGCCCATATACATACTTAAAAGGGACAGAGCTAATGCCCGCCTTGAAAAAAAAAGTTTAGTCAATAAGGAATTTATGACAAAGGAAATGGTTTATTCCAAAGAACTGCCAAACAAATTTACAAATCTTGCCATGGTACCCTGTGGTCTGACTGATTGAATAAAAAATGTGTTGTTGCCAAGAAGTTGCAAAGTATGTCAACAAGAGCACTCCATTTGACTGGCAGAATCAAAAGAGGCTATTATATATTATTTAGCCAATCAGAACCAAGCATTCGCCTTAACTTGCCCGCTCAATGCATCAGTCTTATGATATACAGAGTATATTATTAAAGCAGCCTATACATGCCTTGTATAAACTAGAGTTTCCTTCTGGCTCCTAAGTTGCTAAAAAAAAAAAAGGTCATATAACTACAGTAAAATTACCTGAAATATCTTTAAAAAAAACCCTGATTCTCCATGGCACTTAATGAACCCATTCCTGACAAAAAAAAAAAATAAAAGTATTCGTTAAGGTGGACTCTACATGTATATCTGAAAAAAAATGTAAAGTATTGGGTTCTTCTAGTTTGCAAAGAATACAAAGAAAAAAAAAGAAATGACAAAAAGAGGGCTGATGATGATGATAGATAGTTAAAAAAAATAATTAGAATATCGAACATAGCAGTCCATAGATTGAATTGCAAAAAAAATACTTAGAACTAGGAATAAATACAATTGAAATTATAATAAAAAAAAAAATGCGAA